CTTAGAGAGAGCTGAAAGCTCTATGAAGCAGTATATAAGTCTAACTGCTATTGCTATCGGGCGGGCGGGTGGGCCCTCTGGAGCACCGTACCGGGGCATACCGCCTGCAACCCACCACTGACTCTGAAGCTGACCTGGCTGAAGCCATTTTATTCCTGCCTCTCATAGTTGCCATGAACTTTGAAAGGCGGAAAGGAGGGGGGGGGAGGGAGAAGATAGACTGGCTACCAGTCAAAACAAAAAGTTTTTCTGTGGGAACCAAGGTCATCCCAGCAGAGGAGTGGCCCAAGCAGCCTCCCAACTACCTTCATTGGACAATGTGACTGGTGACACCTGGGGAGGGAATATTTTCTCGTTTAATTAGGGGGGGGGGGAACCGTGGGAACCTTTAGAGTTAGTTTTCACTAGCTGTGCTTATATGGTGTCTCTAATAAACATGTTCCTTTGGGGAATCTACCTGCCTCGGAGTTCTGCTTTCGGTGGATACATTACTCGGAACCCTCATGGGGGACCCCTGTCTTAAAACTTTTGTATTTTAGCTGTTCTTTGTGGCCTTCCAATTTTGACACTGGGTTGGATAAACAGATCATCTTTCACTGGCCCATTGGCCCTGTTGAGTTTTGATGACACAAGCAGCAAACACCATGAACAAAATTCAATTCAATTCAATTTATTAGATTTATAGGCCGCCCAATCCCGGAGGCCAGTGCTAAAATTCACGGGAGACAAATGTCTCTTTTGGAAACCCAAGGACAGGGGACTTCTCACCAGCCAATTCTTTTTCATGGCTCGTTGCGTTTCAATCTGCGCTGCACGCTTTAGAACAGCTGGGTGATTCACCCGAACCCGTGCGAGCCATGTGAGATCTAGAAGGGGAGAGAAAAAACATCCATTTACTTCCATCGCCATCTACGTTCAAAATCAATTTTGGGAAGAGGAGAACCTGAAGGGAGATGGGAGGAGCAGTCTTAGCCATTGATCCAATGTTGGAGCTATTGGCCTTCTTCTTTCATATTACCCGCAACTATTACCTGTGTCATTTAAATCTGGTGACCAGATTGGAGAAAAGTTCAAACATAATAAATATGAATTTAAAAAGTTCTTTGCTTTATGCTACTGCGATCATCATTCCATTGCAAACAGAATTAACAGAATTGGAAGGGACCTTGGAGATCTTCCAGTCTAACCCCCTGCTTAGGCAGGAAACTCTACACCACTTTAGACAAATGGTTGGCCAACGTCTTCTTAAAAACTTCCAGTGTTGGAGCATTCACAACTTCTGGAGGCAAGCTGTTCCACTAATTGTTCTAACTGTGAGGAAACTTCTCCTTAGTTCTAAGTTGCTTCTCTCCTTGATTAGTCTCCACCCATTGCTTCTTATCCTGCCCTCAGGTGCTTTGGAGAATGGCTCGACTCCCTCCTGTCTGTGGCAACCCTTGAGATATTGCAACACTGCTATGATGTCACCCCTAGTCCTTCTTTTCATTAACGTAGAAGTACCCAATTCCAGCAACCGTTCTTTGCGTTTTAGCCTCCGGTCCCCTAATCATCTTTGTTGCTCTTCTGTGCACCCTTTCTAGAGTCTCAACATCTGTAATAAATTCTTCCTTAGCCACATGATGGCTGGAGAATTCAGTAAGTTGAAGTCCGTGCATCTTAAGTTCCTGAGGCTGAGAAACACCGTGACCCGTCAAAACCGCGGTCCACTAAAGCGCGCCCGATCAAAGAAGCGTACGTGACGTCATCAGCAGCGCGACAAATAAAATTAAAAATAAATTAAATTAAAATTAAAATAAAATTAAAGCAAGCCGATTCACATAAAGGTAAGGGTTAGGTTTAGGTTTAGGTTTAGGGTTAGGTTAAGGGTTACGTTAAGTGTTAGGGTTAGGTTTAGGGTTAGGTTTAGGTTTAGGGTTAGGTTAAGGGTTACGTTAAGTGTTAGGGTTAGGTTTAGGGTTAGGTTTAGGTTAAGGGTTAGGTTAAGGGTTACGTTAAGTGTTAGGGTTAGGTTTAGGGTTAGGTTTAGGTTAAGGGTTAGGTT